CCCCTACGTCACTCTGAACGTAGGCATCATGCACAACTTGGGGTTCGCGAACCTGTCCAAAATCTATAGAAGTTCCCCTGTCTCTGCTATATTTGAAACAAACTTTTCAACTGTGGCCCTGTATCATATGAAGCGTGATGATGAGGTTATTCGTGTACCAACTAAATAATTTAGGGATTTTTTTCATTTTTAATGTGAAGCACAGTCCTCCAGCTACGTGTGCCAGTGCTTATTTCATTTCTTGATATTTTAATAGGAATACGGCTTGTCTGTAAGTTAGCTTTCCTTTGTAGGTAATCTGCCAATTTTCCGTTTCTATTTGTTGTTTTTAATTTAACTTCGTTCATAGACGTTCCTGATATAGTTACAAATTAATTGTTATTAAAAATAACTCTGAGTCCACACAACATGCGTATATGGTGCATGGAGATAAAACTCCATACACTCTATACTTAAGCATTATGCGAAGGTAAATGGTCATTTTTGTGTCTGGTTGTTTTATCACTGGTACCCATAACATCGGAGGATGAACTGGAATGAAACCCGGTCATCCAGCACACAGCCAGTCACTTCACTGACTATTTTATTGCAGCTAATTATTATTATTATAGTCTATAAAATATTACCATGAAGCAAATTATCATAAATTCATCTATTTACGGTTGGGGGTTTATGTGCCGACCAATCTTTTCCCACGGAAAGTGAAATCGATAGTAATTTCACCCCTACTACAACCTAACCCATCAAATAATTTTATTTCTATGTATAGATATATATGCAGTGCTGTAAAGTATTTGTGACGTAAAGTTAAACTCCCTTTGCACAACAGAACATATATCATAATATTCACGTATTCTGGACATGTTCACCACTTTCAACACACATAAAACAAACAGAAGTTGGAATGTTACATTCACAAGCATAATTTGATCGAGACCAATAGTCTGGTTTGTTCTTTGAACGCAGGTTAAACATTTGTACGCGCTTTGTTAACCACATGCATCACACAGACAAGGCTTCATTTGATTTTCAGTAGATTGCTTTTAATCTAAAACTTTGTATTAATTTGTGTTATGCTATGGCGTTTAATATAAAAGTTCTCCTTTGGAGATTCTGGACAGGTAATTTTACCCTTTTCATCTCTTTGTTCCATAGCGGCCCGCAGAGTTTATACACAGCTTCAAACCACGGAAACTAACAAACAATTGCAAAACCGCGGAATACATCAATTCTGGAGCAGATTTAACAAATACACACAAAGCAACAACTCAAATTCAACGTGAAACTAAATTGCTACAGTTTGATTTAAGGCTTTCAACGTCACACGCAGGCGCGCGGGGCGAAGGGTCTTTTGACCGAATCATTTCCACTGTTGCTAGTAACTTCTCAGTCCCGATCAGGTAGGATAATCGGGACTAATGCATTTTAATTATGTTCGAAAGGTCTCGGAAACTAACAAAAGATCGGAAAACCTTACAGCTTTTCCTTACACCCTCCCGCAAAATATTGAGCTAGCCCACTTCTGACATAGCCCAGGACGGCTTATTTTCAGTCCTGTAAGCATTTAACGCTTATAATCATCCTATAATTCTACATTTCACAAAAGTAAAAATTTAATGTTCTGAAGTAAGTATTTGGTTTCTTGATTATGACTATTTCTGATAGTAGAATGTTGACGTGAGTAATTTTTCCTTGATAAAACATCACCAAAGAAACCAGAATTTGTAACAGGCTTATACCTCATGTATCTACTAGTCTTTTTATACAGATACAAGTACTTCAGAGGACAACCTGTCTGCATATTACATTTACTTTCTGGACAGAGATACTTGTTACACATAAGTTATTTACACTTATGTCGAATAAAAGAAGTTATTCATATATACTTATCTGTAAGTAACTATGAAATATGGACGTGATTTAATGGTCGTCAAGAAGTTGTCTAAGTTCTGGAGACACTTGGCTTACAAGATAGCAGACAGGGCGGTCACACAAAGAATTTTGTGACGACAAAATTATTAGTAGCCAGGCGCCAGACGACTTCTTACACTTCACAACAAGACGGCACGAATAGGTGCAATCCATTTGTTTGACTGGAAGCGTTCTAGTAACGACGCATCCACAGTAATGTCAAATACACCCACGGCGACGCGCGGTCACTGACACTGGCCGAAACCTACCAGCTGCAAGATGTACTATGGTATTACAAATTCGGTTTTTTGCTGTTTTCCATGCATCATTGGCCTTTATGTTAATTTATTGCAAAAATAAATATACTGTTGCAAAACTAGTCACACGAAGTCAGAAATAATTCCTTCTAGTTTCTGAAATGTTCGACATATCGAAAAGTAGTTTAGAGTATATACGTCTGATGGGTAACTGTCCCCTATTAAAACTTGTTAAAAATTTGTATACGAAGAACCATGTCTTTCACTTCCCTTTTCACTTGAAAAACCGATAGGGAGATGGGATAACATTAAGATAGATATTAGAGTTTCGGACATAAAACAACGACGCACACAAAAATATAAATGTCTACGTAATTTGTCTCAGGGAACATAATGAAGTATTAGATTTGAAGCTCCCACGGCGGTAAAGATTTCTATGATAGTCTTTAGGGTTGTAATGTCGTGTTGACTTGTAGGTAGATACCAACGTGTCGGAGAAACCTACTGCCTCCATCTTTAGAGTTGGAGCTTAAGAAAGTTATGTTTCTTCGAAACCAGGAAGACAACACGGCATTACAACATGAAAGATCAACATCGAAACTAATTAAAAAAGGAATCCTGAGGAAGATATTTGGACCTACTCAAGACTGGAGGAAGGCATGCAAAGAGGAGATTCATAGATGTTATTTTTCGTGTAATAATGTTAAGGTGATTAAATCATGACTGATAAGACTGGCGGCGCAAAGGCCTATGGGAAATGAAAAACGCATACGAAATTGTGGTCTCAAAAATCACAATAAACAAAATCAAATGCGATAAGCAGTGATGGTACGATTATATTAGGAAGAATATACCATAAATTGCGTGTGGCCTTACAGACTAGATTCAAGTAACACAGGATTTCAGAGTAAAACAACAGTAAAACATCCGGTTTTATAAAACTGTGATTTCTTTGCAGGAAATGCAACTACCAGACACGACTCTGAAGGAACAAATTATCACGTTTCCAAAAGAATTCGCGAATTAATTTTTGAATGAAAACTGTACAAAAACCTCAAAGCAAAGTCCTTATTCAAACTCGCATTTACAAAGGAGTCTATGGAGACCCTATTCAAGTACATTCTTCATATAAGGACTCGAACACTTGCTGATGCAGTGAAACGAACAGGAGCTACAGCTCTCGACAAGTCGTGCCCCGCCGGCGCCTCTGATGAGAGGTTTCGAATAGATTCCTTCAGGGATTAAGAGGTTCCGTTAACACTAGCCGCCGTCTGGTCAGTCAGTCTCCAACAGATTTCTCGTCTCTACTTGAACCACTAGAGCCTATCAATGATATCACCCGTAGCGCATCGTAATGAGAATGATACAAAGTGTTGCACTGTAAAGAGTAGCACATACAGATGATGCAGTATAACGCTTGAATACATCCTACAGAGTGAGTGTAAAACCACTCAAAACCGATCGCTATAGTAACACGTCATTTAACCTTCCTTTTCATCATCATCATCGACTTGTTACAGCTGCAAAAGCAATTTTTAAGAGTACTTTTAAAATTTAAATGGAATATCCCGTTTATAATTTGTAACACACATTTTCTTTTCAACTATCTGATCGCATCAAATGTTGCAAATGACTTTCACTGTTTGTCGAAACACGTATCCGTGTAAGATTTGAGGTTTTCACAGCGGTGAGTATGAAGATTTCTGTCTTCTGGATTGTTGCGCTGTGTAGTCTGGTCGATGTTTACCAACGTTTCAGAGGTCATACTGCCTCCGTCATCAGGGTGAATTCATCGCCCTGATGACGGAGGCAGTATGACCTCTGAAAAGTTGGCTAACATCGGCCAGACTACACAGCGCAACAACTCAGAAGACAGAAATCTTCACGTATACGTGCTTATACGTCTTGTCTTGTTTGCAAACGAAAGCCTCGATTGAATCCTAGGGTTGAATTCCATTACATTCGTGATGCTTAAATAATTTACGTAACATTTTTATTTGTTATTTCTACCCACTGCTTTTCTAAATGGTGTGTCCAGCCGAGTTGTGAGCAAGACGCCAGAATTCTGGAGTCGGTCGCTGTACCTTTCAGAAATGAAGCACAGCTGCGTGACACATCACAGATTCTTGGAGAACTTCGCCTAACACCTTATTTTATGGTCTTTAATTGTGAATAGTGCCACAATGAACCGTAGCCTATCGCGTGTGTCCATACAAAATTTACACATCTATTTAACGAATGTTATAAACGATGACAGGGCTCTTCAATATCTGGACTGACACATTAAAATTAGCGCAGTACAAGGAATAAAGATTTATTATTATTTATATTTAAATTCCAGTTTTAAAAACGAAAACAGGCAAGCAGAATGTTACATCACACGCCTTTTCTATAATTTGTAGTCGTGACTCCGCATGTTGGTAGTTTTATGCGTTAAACTAAACAAATAATATCCCAAAAAGATGCACACACATTATAATACGGAATATTTACCTTCTTGTCCATCTTCGTGTGCTGTTCGTCATTTTGCACACCTACAACAGATTCACTAATCCACAAAGTGCCAATTATGACGTATGTAATGATTTGGTTCATTAAAATGTCTATTTCATTTAATGAATTTGTGTGTATCTTTTGGGGGACACACTCTATGGTTTTGTCTGTCGACGAAACTACGGTGGACACAGATTGCTTTGTGCTGTATGCATTATGCTCTATGAGGTCTCAAAGAAACCAGACAAGATGGAGGGGAAAAGGAAGCCAGAATGTTATCATGCGTTTAAATCTGTAATGGTACTTTACGGTCACTCTCTACAGAGGCCATTCACTAACCTCGATGACTTGCTGGAGATCTCTGACGTATACGCATTCTGTCTCCACGATCTCCATGACGACGCGGTCCATGTAACTGAGGTGAGGATCGCAGTAGCGAGGTCGTCCTGCAGGAGGACATGGGGAGGAGATGTAGCTGCAGGGACTACATACTCCGCTGTCCCCTGACCCTGAAACACGGGCACACAGTTAGTTCTTTCTAGCAAGTGGTGGGCGAGGCAAAGCTCTTTAACACTGCGTATGTCACAGATTAATTTTCCTTGCATTTGCTTAAATAATGGACATACAGAAACACTGTCTCTGATATGTTATTTCTTGTCCGAGGGATTAGAGGAGTAAAATCTTTTAAAGATAAGTTTGAGTTTCATGTGAAGTAGGATTTAAGTTTGGCCAAAAGGCAAAGTTTTTCTGCTGCTTCAACTACGCACCACGCCATAAAGAGTCAGAGCGGCGTATAGGTAGTCAGTGCCATGTTTTCTAATCTCGGTACTGGACACAATCGTTATAATTCTGGTTGCATTCATGCGAATCGCCGCGTACAACCAAAACGCGTAAAATGTGAAACGTATAATAGCCATTTTATGTTAAACTGGAGGCCAGAATTTGATGCTAAGCTTATCATCTGCCCCACATTCCCTGACAAGCTTTGACAATGTTCGACTCAGGCTTTAAAATTCGGCAGCGGACAGAATATTGATGCTCCTCATAACAGTGAAATAAAACCCTGGGTTTGCGAAAACGCGGCTAGCGAAAGCGCGTATAACGAATCGCCTGTACTCGATTGAGGCTTCGCTAAATCTAATCGAAAAAGAAAATTGTGATCTAGAAATGAAGCGAATAAGATGATGGTGACAAATACTGAAAACAAAGAGAAAAACGAATTGTTGGGGGGTAGAAAGGAGATAAATAAACAGAAAAATAAGACAAAGGCAGATATAAGCGTGAATGGAAGGAAGAAAAGTATAAGGAATGGAAAGATAAAGGCAAAGACCGAAAGGAGGAAGAAATGAAATGTCAAGGAAAGGGAAAACAGAAAAGGACGGAAGAAGAAAAAAAGGATGCGAGGACAAGAAAAAAGGAAGAAGGATACAAGTGACAGGAAATAAAGAGAAGTCTCCAAGCCTTACCCAGTCATCGCTGAGATTTCCGAATAAGATCGCGCTGGGTTTTTTTGATGCCGCCGAGAATGGTACAACTGTTTACACAAGTTATTACATTACGTCCTGCATCCCTCCTTCCTCGCATCTTCTTTCTCTATCTATCCATATTTCCATACACTTTCTGTTCTGCGCTCACACACCATCTTGGATGCGACATTTTTAGGTCTGTTGCAACAAAGACACTCTCTGTTTCCAAGATGGCGCCACGATAAGTCGCTAACAACGTCATACCGACCATAATGGCTCTTATTGTTGCAGAGTATGAACCGGATATCATAAAGATAGAAACAACATTAAACCGGCCCTGAAAAGAAGCATGTCATTCTGACTACTCCAGTTAACTTCTTTGCTGTGATGAGTTCTATTTAATGAATGTTATCTTAAACCACGCCTGCTCTACATTGGCAATGACTCTGTCGCAAACTTGATTAAGTCACGTGAGGTCTTCCGTTTGTCCCCCAAGAAAGTAAAAGTAAAACTGTTTTTGTTTCAAACTTGATTTCGGACAAAGAAAAACAGTAACAAATTTCGTTATGAAAATCATGACAATGAAGGTGTCTCCTACGTCCAACTCGCACTTTTAATGATTTTTAACATGAAAATAAGAATTGTAGATAGAAGCGATGTCAGCGCCCTTTAACAACGTGGAGTTTTGTGCGAAAATCAATCAGGTAAATTATATAACATTAATAAGACCATTTGAGGATAATGTCAGGTGGTATCTATGGGAGATAGGAGATAAAGGAGACTGGATTTTGTTGGCCCAGGACAGGGACCGGTGAAGGGCCTTGGTTAGTTCGGTGATGAACCTTCGGGTTCGGTAAGCCATCTAGTTAGTTAAAATGTATGCACTGGGAAACTAAAAAATTCGTTTACTCGGTTTATTGCGGTGGTCTGGAACCGAACCCGCAATATCTCTGAGGTATGCCTGTATTAACGCGTGTCCACTGACCTTGAGATCCACCACTGCCGCCCTTCAGCCGTTCGGCACGGCTACTAAGAGGTTTCTGATGATGTAGGCGTTGTTTGCCGCCGCTGCCACCACTCTCTGGGTCGTCGCTGTCGTCCTCCAAGGATTCAATAGACGCCAGGTACGCAGAAGACTTGGGGGCAGCGCCCAATCGGCGTCCTGCACCGCCGGAGCAGCTGCTGGTTCCGGAAGAGGATGAGGACGAGGAGGCGATAGAGCTGATGGAGAGGGGGCGGGACACCCCTGAGGTCACGGCGCCGACCCGCGTCTCCTCCA